TCAATGGTCTCATTTGATTCAGATCTAAGAAAAAAGCCGAATGAAGCTGACATTTACTAAAGTAATAAAAATGCTTGTTGCTCCCAAATATCGTGCTAAAATAAGAATAAAAATAATCACGTAAATTTTGAGCAACACAGTAGCTGCTGTTTTGAAATTAATATCTGAGACCACTGAAAATAAAGAAAAAAGCAATGATTATGGAGTTTAGGGTGATTCTTTGAAATGCAGTTTTGACATGATTTTTACTGAAGAACGCATCAAAATAATATTCAATTTAAACATCCATTTCAAATATAATTTTATAGTAAAATGTCTATCGAGGCCTTACGTAGTTAAATGCAATTAATTAAAATAAACTTAATTTAAGTCAACAGAAAACATTAAAATCTAATTCATCTGGCACGTCCAAATGACGATTTTTGTTGCACTAAACTATTTTTTGAAATTACCTTTTGCAATAGACTAGAATTAGTAAGTTGTATCGATATGTGAATATCTGTTTTTTGATGATTTCATATTTCAATCCAAAACAATTAAATGTTCTTGGAATAACGTAACATTAAAAATTGTCCGCGACTAAAGTAATCATTCATCTGGCTCAATACGTCGAAGCATAAATTTAACGTATGTCTCAAAATATTCCAATAAATTATACCGACTCGTGATTTTTCGCACCATCCAGTCCCGACCCGGCATACGCTGCTCTCGTGCAGGCTTGTATTTTACCAATAAACTGCGATACAATATCGTGATCTGGCATTTGTCAGGTAAGTAGCATAATTAATCAATCTTTCTTTATAGATGTTGTGCACATGTTTACGTTTTGTAACGAAAACATATTCTCTAATCAAATTATTCATCACTATTAATTACCTCTTTGATTTTGGACGATTATAAATAGAGTCTGGCCCTCATTAGTTTGGTTTCATCTGGTTCTTAAGACCAGATGAATTTGAACGGGTCAGACGAATTAGATTCAATTCAAATATCATATGAATCGGTAAAGAATTGAGATTTTGTGTTCCAGATTTTTTGAATATATTTAAGATGTACATTGTTAAAACTTATAAAGTCTGTTGTCTTAAAAAGGTACAAATTGGGCTAAGCATTTTGATCCCATTTTCTTATCTTCAGATCTGTATTTTGAAAATGGCAAAATCAAAGAAACAGACATGAGAAGAAAGGCTTAGAAAAAGGGGCTAGCAGAGAAAAAAGAGATATGAAAGAATAAAATATAATGATGCCTTATAGAACGAAAAACAAGAGAAGAATAAGCAAAACTACATACGTAGAAAGGAGAAAAAGAAACAACTACCTATAAGTGAAGTGAATCCTGGACAACAAAGGTTACAAAGAAAGAGGTGGAGAAAGAACTACAAGTCATATTACCTAAGAAAAAAGAACAACAGCCCTACTAGTACAAAATATCCCAACACAAAGTCCCGCCATTAAGTCGGATACTGAACTGATAGTTTTACAAGACAACATTCGAGATCCGTCACCTTTAGAAAACCTATTTTTATGCAGAGAACCGGAGTCGCCTATAGCAGGACCATCTAGGATATTGCGCAGTATATCTCAACAGAAGATATTATCAGCTAAGACCTCACAAGATCTTCTCGATTTAATATGTTGAGACGTGTACAATGTGGATTGTTTGCATCGAACGTGTTTAGCGTGCAAGAAAAGAAAGTCTGTTATCAGGAATTTAATAATTCTATTGAAAAAAAGTTACGACCACTCTCAAACCCAAACCAGCATTCCACCGAGCCGAAACCACACCACAGGTGGACTTCTTTCACCCTATCCTATAAAAAAAAAAAAAAAAAAAAAAAAATTACGTACTGGCACTGGGAGACGAAATGAGACATGATTCAGAGTACGGAAAGAAAAATGAGAACCACTGAAAAATAAAAAAACGCTAAGCTTTCAATATATAGGTTTATGGAAAATTTTGAAGCAACACTGAATGCAATGCAATTCAGTGTTCGTGCAGTGGTAATATAGCTGCTCAACGAAAAGCTTTCAGAAACTTAAAATAACGTTTTCAAGGTAGAAAATAACACACTTACAAGAGGGTGAGTGTATTATTCACATTGATTATAGGGAAAATTATGCACTTAATTGTAATGAAGAAATACAGTCCTACCATTTCGGTGGTAGTCGTAAACAATTAACTTTACATACTTCGGTAATATATTTTCTGGATAATGAGAAGACACAGTAAATATAATTCTTTTGTACGGTAAGTGAATACATGCGCCATGATATTTCAGTCGTATGAGCTCACATCGTGTCAAACTTCGAATACATAGGTGGAACAAAGACATACATTCAAATTGTACATTCTGTCAGTATCGTAACAAAAAGATATGCTTGAGCTCTATCATAACCATTACGTGTAACTATACTGAACCTGGTCATGTAAAGGGAGCCCCAGACGGAGTAGGTGCTGTTATGAAGAAAACTGCGGATTGAGCGGTCTTCCAAAGACAAGACATAAAGGGTCTAGATGATTTTTTGATATTATGGATCAATATATGAGAAAATGAAAGTGATAACTACTTCCGAATATGACATAAGTAAAAAGGGCTTGCTTTTCCCACCTAATTTGAAAGATTTTCCAGGATGCATCAAAATGCATCAAATTGTCTGGAATTTGAACTCTCCTATGGTAACCGTTGAAAAAATAAAAACAAACTGAGTTGTACTGATAAAATAAAAACTGTATGTATCATATTGTTAATTGCAACCACATGAAGCAACTTGGTTTTTTTCTCTTGGAAAACGGATGTCAGAAATCTTTAATGGTCACCCCCCTAGCTAATACAAATAACAATGCAGGGATATCGGTGAACTCTTTTGGACAGTAAATAATGAAAAATACGTAAACGAAGAAATAATTCGAGAGTCTATTAGAACCAATGGTATACATAAAGAAAAGGGCACAAGTTTGTCACCAAAGAAAGGTAGAAGCAAATATTTAACACCAAATATTTACCAAAAATATACTTTTACAGAAGAAAAAGGAAGAAGGAAGGATAAAGAAGAACAATGTTAGCAAAAGCTCATTCTTCTGCCTTACTCATCATTCATCTGGCTGGTTCATTCATCAGGATAACCTAATTCATTAACTACTGGAAGCAAATCAGTGCCTTCAATATAAAATTATTACATTTTACGACCAGGATAAACTAATATTATAATTTATACCAAATAACAAAAAAAAGTTGAAGCCAGACGAATTAGTCGAAAACTCTCGTTTTCAAAGAATCACCCTATAGAGGTAAGGAGAACCAACTCTAAATAAAAAAGTGTCCGTAGGAAAGAACTAAATAAGGGTGGCGCCACTATAGCTCGAGGGTAAATATTAAAGAACTCTAAGTTTTTATTGCACTGTCTTTCGCCATAATTCTTTTTTACAACAATTACATTATTTTTTTAACATTTTTAATTTCAAAATCATTCTCAACGTGTTTCACGGTGACTTTATCTAGGTTATATTTACTAAATTATTTTAGACAACGTGAGTAGTTGAGGTTTTAAATACTGCAGTTTCATCAACTAGTTTAGTCACCACAAATATTAAATTCCTCAACTCAGTATATTTCTCTCCATCGACAACTGCTAAGTTCATTTCATACCTCTAGTCAATTTTGGTCAATGTACAAGGAAATACTAAAAGCTCTGTTTTTTTTTGAAATTCGATAGTGACATCAGATTAAAAATGTTCGATGTATTAACGACTATACAATAACAATAAAATCTCTAGAATGTATCTGGAAGTGTATTTCTTCAAAAGGTTTTAAATATCTAAATTTAAGACAGGCTAAATCAAGACGTTCTTGAAAATTTATTTGGAAAATAATAAGGCAACATAGTCCAACAAATAGAAATCCAACTTGCTATCATTTCAAGGTGTTATTAAAATCATCAGTACTGACTCGTCTCAGCATGCCGCTGAGTAAAGGGTGAGAGTGTCCAACTGTGAGAAAGACAGCAACAATTTACTATTTGATTTCAATAATATTTTATTTCCAGTCTTAAAGACTACAAACCAAGTAAGGAATTGCCAAATCCATGGTTATTCTGAGTTTACTACAGGAGAAAAAGTGCCACAATTCCAAATTCGAGAAGTAAATCATAAAGACGCAATTAGAAGAAATAAATGCATTTTTCAAATCATTTGTTCAGCAAGCGACTGTTTACGTAAGTGGTTACTTAGCTTACGCTGTTCTTAAAAGTGTTAGTTGTAGATAATGTCAGGCTTCATTAACCGTTTCTAGTCCAAAAGAACACCCCATTTATAATTACAATTTGCTGAAAGAGTGGTGGAACGATAAACAATCACTCACATATCCCACAATCAAGTTATGTGAAACTAGCTTTTGCCCGTGGTTTCGCTCGCGCAGGAGACCTACCTTAGGAAGTACCTAAGGGTTAAGACTATTTATTTTTTCAATCTATGCAGAAAGTACTTCTTTATATACTACATTAGAGGTTCTGCCTTCAGATGCTAACACGACCAAGTTGTTAGGTTAGCTCACTCTCAAGCAGGCCACGTAAAACTGGCCGTACGCGAAGCAATCCCTCCTAAGATCAATTCCTGCTGTTTTCTGTGACTGACCCTGAGACTTATTGATCGTCATTGCGAAAAAAAGACCTTAAGAGGGAATTGCAATCTTTTAAACTTCCCTTCCCTCCGGACCGCGAAAGCGAACAGACGTGTCCTCTGTGATTGTGTTGTTTTTATAAATAAAATAATTCTTCATTAATAAACTATAATTCGTGCGTGTATTAGGGCAACATACTCGTAACGTAGTACCATCCTGCTTAATTGAAGAGGTAAACCGCGTCCTTTGTATATTGTCAGCGTGCATACATTTGCTGCATAATTTTTGGCTCCACCCACCGCCTTTGCTCAAAAAGCTCCTGCTATTATAAAATAGCTAATCTGCAGAAAATTATTGTTTTGCTCAACATATTTAAAAATCATCATGCTTCGTTCACCGAATAAAGCAGGATCAGAATCCGATATCTCCAAACTACCGAAAACCCCTTCTTCGCTTGCGGTTTCAAGACCAAAAAGACGTCACGATGAACTCTCAAGGGATGAGTTTCTTTCGTTCAAGGAAGAAGTTATGAAATTGCTGAAGTCATGGAAAGCTGATTATGACAACAGACCATCTAACATGGAAAATAGTCTTAAAAATATAAAGAAGATAAATACAGACATAGAAAATTCACTCGAATTATGTATATCTGAAATATGAGGATATGCAAAACAAAATAAATAATGCTTGAAAAACAATGTAAAGATAATCATAAATACATTATGTCTCTGGAAAAAAAGTTGAGGAACTTTATCGAAATAGCAGAAGAAATGGCGTAGAGATACGTAATATTCCTGAAAAAGAAAAACAAATTGCGGACGTCTTGTTGTTACTTGTGTTTTGAAAACATAAATAATAGTAAAATAATATTTTTAAAGCATAATACAGTTTTGTTTTGTTTAATCATGGATGAGCCTTCCACATTTACTAGACAAGCTGATCAAAAACAGTGGAGAAAAAAGTTTTTAGCAGAAATTTTGGAAAGTGAATATAAAAAGTCTTCTCATTATAATGTTTTGCCTTCGGGTAAATATTCCGAATTGGTTGAACAAGTGGAAGACGCTGAAAAGTCGGAAAAAAGAACACCATTACAATAAAGACGACTGAAACGATTTAATGTGCTAAAAATCGGAGATGTAAAAAAACTAATAGCTTAGATGGATGGGAATATAAAATACTATCTACAGGATGATGAGCTTTATGATGTGATCTACGCAGCTCAAGTTGTCGTGCCAGGATGTTAATCGAGACATCAAAAAATATGCTAATATCACAAAAGAAATGATAAACCCCTATTAATCAATGTGTGATGTGTGTCAACAAAAGAAAATAAAAAAGAAGAGAAGACTAGTTTCAAAGCCGATTCTTCACTCTGAAATGAATAGCAGATGCCAGATGGATTTGATCGAATTTCACACACAATTAGATGGACAATTTAAATTTATTATGGTTTACCAAGACCATCTAACAAAATTTGTTCTGCGTGCGTTAACATCGAAGAGAGCGGCAGAAGTGGCCTACCACCCGATTGATATATTTTTATCAATAGGCGTGCCGTGTATTCTCCAATCTGAAAATTATAGAGAATTTGTTAATAATGTGATAAGTGATTTCGCGAATCTTTGGCCAGAACTTAAAATTGTACACGGAAAACGTAGGCACAGTCAAATTCAGAGTTCCGTTGAACGCGCTAATCAAGATATAGAGAACATGATAAGTTCTTGGTTGAAGGAAAACGATTTAACAAAATGGTCGTAGGGCTTTAGATATGTCCAGTTCACGAAAAACCGCGCCTTTCATTCTGGAATAAAACAATCGCCTTTCAAGACTTTATTTGGGATTGAACCTAGAGTATGACTTTCGACTTCATCGTTGCCGCAAGAAATAATAAATGATATTCAGGATGAGGATGATGACGGTGAAGATGATGATGGCGGCATTGTGGAAAATGACACACAGAACATTCAAGATGCTAGAAAAACGGCGGCGGAAAATCTTGAAAAGCAAGCTAAAAAATGAAAGCTTCTTCGGACAAATTCCATCCACCTACCAACATTGGAGACAATATTACTATACCAATTCCAGACGTGGACAAAGGAAGAGGTGACCTTTGAAACATCATTGGGGTTATCCTTCAGAAATGATGAGGATGCCAGACAAAGTTGCCACCAAACATGATGTATTGCAAAAATTTTATTGCAGGTACTGGTTTTTTCTTACTGGATTATTAAAGTCCATGTTAATAATATAATTAAATGTCGATATTACCATATTTTTCTGGTGATTGAAAAGTAAGAGCTTTGACTAGTTTTTTCTTTCTTTCAGAACTGAATTTGATATTTGCATTCCGAAATTTTTAAAGGTGGGCGATTTCAACTTTTATTGAAATATCGCTGAGGACTACAGCCACAAACATTCGGTTGGATCGGTGCAAGGATTTGTAAGGTGCAGCTGCGTAAGGAACTGTTTAACAAACAGGTGCAAATGCAAGAAAAAAACGGTGCTGTGCAATTCCAGGTGCCATCAGAGTACACAATGCAAAAGTAAGTAAAATTGACTTTGATCTGATTAATAAATAAATCTTGATCGAAGATGGCCCCTTTCCCCACAGCCATAGCACCTAGGGCTGTATCCTTTATTGCGGTCGCGAACCGTAGCTGCTGCAACCTCCCTTACGAGATGGGAGCGAAGATCCTGTCACACGGCTTCCACCTCCAGTGCATGGGCCAAGGCATCCTTAAGCGTGTCGCGGTGCCCGAGCCTCACAGCAGCTCTGACCTCATGGTCGCGGATGCCGTCGATGAATTTCTGTACCAGGTTCCCTTCAATGAGCGCAGGTACAGACTGGTATGCTTTTCAAACCCTCTTCTCCACCTCAAGGGCCCACTGCTGAAGGTTTTCGTTAATGCGTTGCACGCGATCTTTAAGCTGCGCGCGAAAGACGTGTTCCAGGTGGGCGTCGCCATATCTCGCCTCCAATGCCTCAAGGAGCTGCTCGTAGGTCACCTTCTTACCGAGAGCTTCCAACACTTCATGGCCTGGCCAGCCGTTCGCCTCCATGATGGCCTCGATTTTGTAGGCCGACTAGGAAGAAATCCCGTCGAACGGCGGCACTTTGAATCCACGTAGCGAACGTGTTGTAGCTACTACGGGAGCTGTAGTTCCATCCCTAAGTTCGAGGTCGTTCAGCGTTTTCTTCACGTCAGCCATCACCTTGTCAACCCGATTGTTCACTTGGTCGATTCGAGTTTCAGCTTTCGCGATTTGGGTTTCAGCTTCCGACAGGCGGTTGTCATGCTGAGCAACCCTATCCTTCACCTCCTTTCTCCTTTTCTTCCAACCGACGGGCCTGTTCCTCCTGTCGGCGGGCCTGTTCATCTTGTCCGCCCCGCAGCTGCTCTTCCAACCGATGGACCTGTTCCTCCTGTTGGCGAGCCTGTTCGTCTTGTCGGGGAGCCTGTTCCTCCTGCTGCTCTTTCAACCAACAGGCCTGTTCCTCTTGTCCACCCCTCAGCTGTTCTTCCAATCGGCGAGCCTGTTCTGCCTGCTGGCGAGCCTGTTCCTGCAGCATCATCATGAGAGCACCTAAGTCAGGTGCTGCACGTGTAGGAGCTGTTGACGGGCCAGCATCTGTGGCTAGTAGTTGGCCCCCCGACGTCTGCGGTGTTGCACCGCCAAATTTTCTCTGGTCTGTCTCCTGCTGGCGTTGACTTCGGGTACGAACACCCTCCGTTTCCTCCTTAGGTAAAATCGGCATAATTTTATCCCACTTCTGACACCAATTGTTACGAGCTTAGGGTTCGTGACAATAAAAATTGCCGATAGAATTACCAAAATGAACACTTTAATTCACTTTACACTAATTAAAACTTAAAAGACATTAATAATTAATCACACTGATTCACTTTATTTCGCTCCGAAGCTTCGCTTGTCTCGTCAAATTCAATACTGCCCCGATCGCGGCACGCAGCGGGTACGCTTTTACACTTTTACGCCGAAACATCCAGAATATTCCCCAAAATAAGGGCGCCGACCGACCAGACGCAGAAAGTTCGAGTGCGAGGCTTCTAGAAAGCTTAGTTCTTCAATTCGATACTAGATGGCGCTGTTGGTTAAAAGATTACTCATGTCATTTTCTGTAAAGCTCTCCTCGATCTGTTACCCGACACTAGATGGCGCTAGTGCCAGACGTCAACTTAGGCGCGCAACAATATTATAATGAATAAGTTCGCTATTATACTAACTTAGCGGGCAGCAGTGAACTTACATGAGAATAAAGCGCCTTTACCGCGTGCTAGATAAAAAGAAAACACCTTTGGGTCTAAGAATATATATAGTGAATATGATGGTTATTTATAAAATAAAAAATTACACGAATATAATTCAATTATGTATGTACATATTTCATGAGGTTAAATTGTAACTGTTAGGAGAAAAATAATCTGATTAGGAGTTTTTTTCTCACTTTTCTCACAAGGTCTTCTTGCAGTAGGGACATAATATAATAATAATGATTTTATTTCAGATACAAGCTCCATACTTTGTTAGTAATAAATTATATAAACTTAAAATTAATGTTAGTAAATATACAACTAAAAACAACAATACATTATGAACTTTTTAAAGATTTTAACGACAGCTTAGTCCAGCCGATTGTAGACGATAGTATAATCAAAATCCACTTCAAACTTCAAACCAGTGATTAAAGCAACAATCCGTTGGCCGTTAAGTTCTCACCAAAACCGCTTACAAGAAGTATATAATCATAATTATAGTATACTCTTTGATGTATTAGGAAGATTATAATACATATAACATAGGTAGGTACTACTCACGCGGTTAAAGAATGGGACTGAAAATGGCGTCGCCTATTTACCTCTCACTCGCACACTATTGCTATCTATACTCACACCCACCGGTAGAAAGAACAAAAAAATATGTTGCGATACGCGTTTTTCTTACGTGCTAAAACTTCAGTTCGACTTGTCATTGACATAAATGGTAACCAAATACCATAAACTAAAAAAAAATCCATGGTTTTTGATTATTATTTACTGTAAAGCATTGTTAGTTATTTCATTTTTGTTGACTATTTCATTACTTGGTATTTTTCTTTTATTATTTTATATACATTCTGTTAACAATGGAGTATAAACGCAAGAAAGTACTACATATTGCTACACGTAGATTGTATAAAACGTCATAAAGTATTTTGAGGTAGCAAAAAATCTGGAACGTTATGGCACATACATTATGGCAACAGGATCGACACTCGAATTAAAAAAGATGGTGAGTACCAAATTTATCTAGTATCTATCCGTTTGTTTATAATTAATGATTCGAAAATATTATGCACCATTAAATAATATATAAAAATATTGTATTCGCTTTTCAATATTCATTTTTTCAAGCGTTGTCCATTCTTAGGTTTCCGCACTCAAATTATGCCCCGTATCGTACCGTTACAACCTATTAAAGTCCACTGCTAAATAAGCCTCTCCCATAGATTGCCTCATATGGGGTATTTTGCCATAGTTGCCACGCTTCACATGCGGGTTGGTAACCGCAGTTTCTTTATATTGAGTCGTTATAAGGAAGATGCTGCAGCCCATCTCCAGATTTGTTTCCCTCTGTCTCCTCTTACGACACTTACGTGTTGA